TATCCTATTTGGGGTTCAATAGCTTCCTGAATTTATGGGTTAATGTCTTATGCCAAATTCAGAAAAATTTCAGCCATTATTTCCTTGAACACTTTTTCAGTCTCACGCTCCTTCTCCTCTCTGGAAACACTTGTTATGATCCCATGGGTCCCTGAGTTTCTCTTCATTTTTTCCCCTTCAGCCTATCTTCTTTCTGTAGTTCAAGTTGGGTACGTTTTATTGATGTAACTTCAAACTCACTGATTTATTCTTCCGTCCTCTTCCAACTGCTATTGAGTTCTTCTGGTGAGTTTTTTATACTTTATTATATTTTCAGTTCTAAAATTTTCTTTTGGCTCTTGTTTATAATTTCCATTCCTTTGCTGAAACTGTCTATTTTTTCATTTGTCTCAAGCATGTTCAAAATGACTCATTGAAACACTTCTTATGATGGCCTCTCTAAAATCCCTGTAGGATAGTTCCAATGTCTGTGTCATCTTGGACCTGCCATCTGTCTGATTGTCTTTTCTTATTCTAGTTGAGACTGTCCTGATTTGTGGGAAAAGGGTTTCTTTTTTAAATTAGTTCCAGACATTTTGGTTATTATGTTATAAGACTCTGCATCTTATTTAAATCTTCAGTTTCAGCAGGTTTCCTCTGACACCACACCAGTGAAGGAAAGGTGATGTTGCCTTTCACTGCCAGGGGGGAGTGGAGGCCAAGCTCCCCGCTTCGTCTCCACTGACACTTTGGAGGATGGAGAGTTTTTTAACTGGCTGATTACGATGAAAGCCCTGGCTCCTCTGAGCTTCTCTGACACCACTCCAGTGTGGGGAGAGGCAGGGAGGAGGATGCCTCATTCCAGCGGGGTGAGGATAGAAGTCTAGGCTCCCCAATCAGTCTCTGTTGACAAGGGTAGGGGTGGGGCCTCACTTTTTCCTGAGGCATTTGGCTGCACCAGGCCCATTATTGTCTAAAAGTTTTCAGTTTTGATAAACTGCCCCTTTCTTGTCCTTTGGCTAGAAAGAATGGGTTTTTCTTGGACTTTTTTTTTTAATCTAAATTTGTTGGCATTTCTAGGTTGTTAGCTTCTCCAGGATCCAGCTGAGAATATGAGAGAAAAAGAAAACCTAGGGAACTCAATGTACATCAGTCTTTGGGTCCTGAGGTCCCTGGCCATTCTGTTTTTTTGCTTAACCTTTCAGTCTTTTCTTTATTTGTTGTTTTTAAAAATTTCCCCCCCCCCATATTTACCAGGTTTTTTTTGTTTTTGTTTTAAACATTTTTTTATTGAGTGATAGTCATTTTACAATGTTGTGTCAAATTCCAGTGCAGAGCACAATTTTTCAGTTATACATGAACATACATACATTCATTGTTACATTCTCTTTCACTGTGAGCCACCACAAGATCCTGTATATATTTCCCTGTGCTACACAGTTCTTTGTTTTAAATATAACGTTCAGGGTTTTTAGTTGTCCTTAGTGGAAGGAGTAAGGAGAAGTGTGTCTATTCTATCTTGCCCAAAACCAGAAGTTTCTTTAGTTTACTTTTCATACCTAAAGACTCAGTTGGGAGTCTTATCACTTGTATTTAAATCCCAACTGTGCCATCTTGGATAATTCTTTAAGTCTTTGTTTCCCTCTCCCTAAAATGAGGATTATACAAGCATTTGCCTCATGGGATTGTAGTGAGGATTGAATATATATTTGTATACATACATACATACATATGTGAATATATATATATTTATATATACATAAAATCGGCAGGCACATATCAAGTGCTCAATAAAGCACTGAGCTTCTATTGTTTACAATGGCATAAAATAAACATCTACTGGATAGACTGTCCCAACCCATGGGTTAGCAGGCTGTAGCTTCCCTTTTCGATGTTTTGTGCTATCTGGTATATTCCAGGAGAAGGTATCTCAGGTCCACTCCTGAATTAACCTACACTTGAACTCAATCTCTCTATTGCACAGCACCTTAAGGTCTCAATCCTCAGCGTCAAAATCAGGCCCTTTTCTGCTGGTCACCATCTCCTATATCATAACTGCTCCAGGTAGCTGCCACCCTCCACTGCCTCACGTGTTCACAGAGGTCTCTCCTTAGTTTATCCCCAAACACCTCATATATCAGGCTTACCAAAAGTTTTAACACATGTTGAGTATTAGCACAGAGAAAATGGAACTTTAAAAAAAAATGGGGTGTGTGTGTGTAATTAGGTTTATTTATTTATTTTTTTGATGGAGGTCCTAGGGATGGAACCCAGGACCTCATGCATGCTAAATACATGCTCTACCACTGAGTTGTACACACCTCCTACCAAGAAAATGGAACATTAAAACTTTAACCTTTATCAATATAAATGGCCATACTACAAAATCTTCATTATTTTGTATCAACTAAAGGCTCCTGAAAGGGTCTTTATAGCTCTTACAACCTATAAAGCAAATAGGCAAAAATTACAGCTATAATTTTTAAAACAACAGTATCTTCTCTTGTCCCTAAAACACTAGGAATAATGATCCTACACACTTTTTACAACAAAGGAGTATTAAAACCATCTTTAAAAATGATATTTTCCCCTGTGTCTCTCCAACAAGAATTCAAGCATCTTAAGGCATAATTAGATAGCTCTAATTTACATAACTCAATACTCTCCAAATAAAGATACATCTTTTTTTAATGTGTCCAAGAAATAGTCACAAAATGTGGTTGTAAGTCAATAAATTTCAAAAGTAGTAATAATACAGGGAGCATTAGCTTTTAACAGTATTATTTGTGTCTAATGCAGTTAAATTAGAAATTAATAACAAGACTACACCAGCAAATCATAAACATTTTTTGGATCAAAGAGGAAATTGAAACTGAGACATTTTTTGGATCAAAAAGGAAACTGAAACTGAAATTGAAGCTGGATTTCAAATAGAAAAACATCTGAGACACCTACAAGGCAGTGCTTAGAGGAAAATGCAAAGTACTAATGCCTACATTAATAAAAAAAATCAAGACTGACAGTAAAATAATTAAGTATTCAAATCAAGAAATTAGAAAAACACAAGAAAAGAATCCTAGTGATATAAAAATTAACAAATTGAAAATAAAAGTAGAAATTAAAAATTTTTTAAAAGGTGAAAGATCTGAGAAATAAATCAAAAACAATTATTCAAAAAATAAAGGAAGCTTAATAAACCATATTTTAATTTAGCTGATATAAAAATAATGAAATAATAAATACGTAAAATAATGTATATGAGAGAATTAAATAAAGATACACTAGAAATTGAAAGATTCAAGAGAGACTACCTTGTATATCGCTAAAAAATAAACTTGAGAACTCTCAGGGAGAATGAGAGATTGCCAAAACTGACCTTAGAATGGATAGAAAATATAAATAGACTGATTACTACAGAAAAAATTGGGAAAAATACTAAAGAGTTACTCCCCCAAAACCACCCTCCCACAAACACTGTCACTGAAAACTTGTACCAAACCTTTAAGAAATAATGATTCTGTGCTTCTATATTTAAAGCATGGAAGGAAAAGACTTCTAAATTTTTAATGAAGTGAATATAGCCACAAATATCAAATAATAAAACTTATGAATATGTATATAAAAATCCAAAATTGCATATTAGCAAACAATTAAGGAGTACATTACAAGAATAATACAACTTCACTAAATGGTATTTACTCCAGGAATGGAAGTATTTTTCAATAATTCAGCATTCACTAGAGAAAAATTGGGACAATCATATCATTTCCACAAGTGCTAAAAAGCATTTGATGAAATCCAACATTTATTTTTTTATAATAGCTATTAATAGGAGGACTAATAAGATGGATTATTTAATAAATCATATTGAGATATCTGGCTATTTACCTGAAAAAAAAAGAACTGGATTATTGCCTTTCAATTTACACAGAAGAAAATTACAGATGCATTAGATTAAATGTACAAAAAAAAGGTAAACTCACAAAAGTAGTAGGAAAAAAATGTGGGAAAATTTCCAAAATAATTTTGAAGCAGGGAAGAGCTTGTCCAGTACTAAACAAAAATCAAGAACCAAGAGGGGAGTATAACTCAGTGGTAGGGTGCACTGGATCTACCATGCACAGGGTCCTGGGTTCAATCTCCAGCACCTCCATAAACAAATAATTAAATAAACCTAATTACCTCCCCTGCCAAAAGAAATTTTTAAAAAAATCAAGAACCATAAAACAACAGATTTATATATTCAACTACCTAAAAACAACAACAACAAAGAATTCTGCATAGCACTGAAAGTTCATAAACAAAGGAAAAGGATAGATAATAAATTTGGAAAAATATTCATATTTCAGAGTTAATTTCCCTAATATATAGACTGCCTACAAATGACTAATAAACAGCAGAATCCAATGCAAAAATGGAAAAGAAAAGGAAATACGAGTGGCTCTTAATGTATAAGTACATGCATAATCTCACTCATCATGAAAGATACCATTTTTTACGTATCAGATTGGCAAATAGAAAACATATGGTGATACATCATGCTGGTGAGGACTGGAGAAACAGTCATTCTGTATGTTTTCAGTGGTAGTGAAAACTGATTTAACTTCTGTGGAAAGCACTTCAGAATCATCTGCCAAAATACAAGTGCACGTACACTTTGACCTAGAAATTCCACTAATAGGAATTTATCCTACAAAAGTATTTGTAATTTATATTTCACATAAACAAGGATTCACTCTAGCATTGCTGTATATATTTGTTTTATTTATATATTTCTATTTCTATTTCTATTTCTATTTCTATTTCTGTTAGTTTACCCAAGACACTGGCAATCCTGGCTACCTCTTATGAGTGAACTCGGTGCCTGAAGGAAAGATGCAGGAAGGAAGCTTACTTTTCACTCTATATTCATGTCTCATGTCAGGTTCCCTAGACACAGAGCCTGAGACAGGGATTCTTGTATATATGCTTTCAGGGAAAAGGGCATATGGTAAGCAGGATAGGGCAGGGATCAAAAGCTAAGCAAGGATATGTCTTACCTGGAGTCTAGCTTCTTTCTGCCTGATACCTTGAGGAGCTCTGGAGTGTGAACTTGAGACAAAGGGTCCAGGCTTTCATGTCCTTCTGAGTCAGTCATTGGCTGTGAGCAGGAGGGGAGAGTATCCTCTCAGGGGAAGTGGCTCCTATTGGCCAAAGGCAGTTCTCTAGAGAAGGAGGCAGCACTGAGCAATCCTTCCAGCAGCCAAGGAACTAGATCAGAACAAGAGATCTAGGACCAATAGGTGTCTACTACAAACTCATGGCACTGTCTGAAATTTGTAGAGTATGTATTTACCTCTTCCAAAAAAAAATCAATTAAAAAAACCAATCTTACAGAATGGTCTCTTTTTGTGGTTCGTCTAGATTCTAAATTCAGCATGAATGCCAACATTTAAACAGTAAAAATTTAGGCTTAGAAATCCCTAGCAAGGCTCCAATTTGGGACAAACATGTTAGTCAATTTTTCCACCAGTATTGGGACAGATTGTGTTTTTTTGGACGAGAACCGCATGAATAGTTGGCTTGCATTTAGGTGACCTTCTGTTTGAGAAATCCACAAGTTTAAACACTGGACTCGTATTCATTGAGGAGAGTCCCCAGAATACAAAAATGAACTGAGGGTGGAGTAGATTTTTATCTCCTTTCCCAGGCTCACTCCAGGACTGCATGGTAGAGAGATCAAACTTATCATTTGTCTCTATCCGTTATGTTTCCATACCGGATGTAGTTATGAACGTATATATGTTGTACAGAAAAAATTATCCAGAAATTGGACAAAAGGCAAAAAGACAATTAGGTGAGCTTTTAATATCATATTAGAGCATTTTCTTGTAGACTCACCTGAGGATCATATCTTTCAGGAAAGGTAACTTTGGCTAGCAATTGATCAGAGCCTAGATCTCTCACAACTCTGTAAAGTTAGAAGTTAACTTGTAAAAACTGGTAAGGTCTGAGTTTTTCCCCCTAATCTGGTAGAGAAGATAACCTAAAGGCTGTGGGTTTACTGCCCTGTAGGAGATGCTTATTCTTTTGTGTTTGGCTTATAAAGTTTTCAAGTTTTATCCATGTTGTAGCATGTATCAGAGTTTCATTCCTTTTTAAGGCTGAATAACATTCCACTGTATATGTGTGTGTGTGTGTATGTGTGTATGTGTGTATGTATATATACACACACACACACATCACATTTTGTTTTGTCCAAAAGGAGGACATATTTTTGTGGACATTTTATTCTTCAATTTGCCTATGAAGCAGTTATTTACTGCTATATAAAAAAACCTACCCCATAACTAAGTATATTAAAATAACAACTCTTTTGCTGGAGAGGATGTGGAGAAAAAGGAACCCTCCTACACTGTTGGTGGGAATGTAGACTAGTGCGGCCACTAGGGAGAACAGTATGGAGGTTCCTTTAAAAGCTAAAATAGACTTACCTTATGATCCAGCAATCCCACTGTTGGGCATTTATCCGGAGAAAATTCTAATCCAAAAAGACACATGGGAATCTAAAAAAAAAAAAAAGTAAGACACAGATGAACTTATTTACAAGATAGAAACAGACACAGAAAACAAACTTATGGTTACCAGTAGGGAAAGAGGGTGAGAAGGGATAAATTGGGAGTTCAAGATTTGTAGATACAAGCTACTAAATATAAAATAGATAAACAAGTTTCTACTGTATAGCACAGGGAATTATATTCAATATCTTGTAGTAACCTATAATGAAAATGAAAAAGAATCTGAAAAGGAATATATGTATGTACATGTATGACTGAAACATTATGCTGTATACCAGAAATTGATGCACCATTGTAAACTGATGATACTTCAATAAATTTTAAAAAATAAATAAAAAGACACATGCACCCCAATGTTCATAGCATCACTTTTTACAATAGCCAAGATATGGAAGCAACCTAAATGCTCATTGACAGATGAATGGATAAAGATGTGGAAAATAAATATGCAATGGAACGCTTCTTAGCCATAAAAAGGAATGAAATAATGTCAATTACAGCAACATGGAAGAACCTACTAAATGAAGTAAGTCATTCAGAGAAAGATAAACATAATATATCACTAATATGTGGAATTTGAAAAAAATGACACAAACGAACTTATTTATAAAACAGAAAGAGACTCATAGACATAGAAAACAAACATGGTTACTGAGGGGAGAGTGGGGAGGGAGGGATATATTGGGACTTTGGGATTGGCAGATACAAATTACTACGTACAGAATAGATAAACAACAAGGTCCTACTGCATAGCACAGGGAACTATATTCAATGGTTTGTAGTAATCTGTAATGAAAAAGAATATGAAAACGACACTGGGACATCCACATGCAAAAGAATGCAGTTGGATCCTATCTCACATCACATACAAAAATTAACTTGAAATGGATCAAAGACCTAAATGTAAGAGCTAAAACTATAATACTGTCAGGAGAAAATATAGTTGCATATTTTCATAGCCTCAGATTGGGAAATAGATTCTTAGATATGATACGAAAAGCAGGATCAACAAAAGAAAAAATGGATAAATTGGATTTCATGAAAATTAAAAGCTTCAAGTGTCATGCTTCAAATGATACTATGTAAAAAGTGAAAAGACAATCCACAGAGTGGGAGAATATGTTTGCAAATCATATATATATAATTAGGAGTTTATATCTAGAATATATAAATAACTCTTAAAACTCAATAATAAAGATATAATAACCCAATTTTTTAAACGGGCAAAGGATCTGAACAGACATTTCTCCAACGAAGATATATAAATGGCCGATAAATGCATAAAAAGATACTCAACATAATTAGTCATCAGGGAAACACAAATTGAAACCACAAGCTACTACTTCATACCCACTAGGATGGTATAATAAAAAAGTCAGATAGTAACACGTTGGTGACAGAAACTAGTCACAAAAGATCACAGACTGTATGATGGCATTTATACAAAATGTCTAGAAGAGGCAAATCTACAGAGACAAGAAGTAGATTATTGTTTGGACTGGGAGGAATGGCTGGATAGGGAGATCATAGCTTAAAGGTACAGAGTTTCTTTGGGGTGGGGGTGATAAAAATGTTCTAAAATTAACTGTTATGATGGTCGCATATATCTGTTAAACATATTAAAAACCACTGAATTGTACACTTTAAATATGTGACTTATATGGTATTTCAATTATGTATCAATAAAGCTGTTATCTTTAAAAGCTCATATGTTGTATGATTCCAAGTATATGTAATGTCCTGTAGGCAAATATGTAGAGATGGAAAGTACATTAATGGATTAAAGTGATCAAGAGAAGACGGAGGACCAGGAATGACTCTTGCAAGGTATAGAGTTTCTTTTTTTTTTTTTGGTTGGTGGGGAGGTCATTTAGATCTATTTATTTATTTATTATTAATTAGTTGGGTTTTTTTAATGGAGGTACTAGGGATTGAATCTAAGACCTTGTGCATGCTAGGCAGACACTCTACCACTGAGCTATCCCCTCTACCTTTACTTTCAATAAATGTCTATAAAATATAAATGCAGTGAACGTTGCACAGGGACTTAACATGTATTTTACATATTCGGTTGTGCACCATGGTTGGATATCATAGGCTGAATGTTTGCAAAATAGGGCTCTACTGTAACCAAGTTAGATTCAAATCCATAAACAGATTGGCAAAATATCTATTTATTAAGAGGAAAACTGCATCCTACAGAAAAGAGCCAAGTCCATAATTCTGTAATTGAAAGCACTATTTAGAGAAGAGAAAGAAGTTTTAATGATCAGGAAACATGAAAAAAGTGTAAAATTTGTTTGTCTCAAAATACCCAAGCCTGGACATATTTCACAAAGTTTCCACCAGAAACTGGGTTACAGAGCTGAAAATTAATGCAATTGAGCCCTAGTTTATAAAAATGAGGCAAATCTCAGTTCTCATTCATTATCTGTTATAAAGAGTGTCTTAGTGTGATTCTCCACGCTCAGTCTGGGGTAGTCTGAAACTGGTAGTGTGTCCCCTGGACTCCTCTAGCTTGTCCATCTAGGTATCTTCCCAGGACTGCACTCTTCATGTGACCTGTCATTCACTTCTTTCCTACCACTCCTCCTGGGCAACCTGATCAACAGCACCAGGATAATGGAAAGTAAAGACTTCTGCACATCTAGTGATTAAGTGCATTTATTTTAAGCACGGCCATCTCATAACGGAATGAACCTCTCTAATGAGGGAAATCTCAGGCAAGAGAAAAAGCTGGTATATTTTGGTCAGGATTACCTCTAGGGTGCCCCTCAAATACTGTTGTGAGTCTTGCCCTGTAAGGCAGGCTCCTCTGAGTCTGGCTTTTTTCCCATGTGCTGCAAAGAAGCTAAGAGTAGGTTACCCCACCAGGCCCACCAAAGTGTGTGCCTAATCTTCCCAACCAGCCCTTTATCACTCCCTTCCAGGAGAGACCCCCACCCCCACCCCTCAGACACCGGAAGGATTCTGCTTAAGTTTCCTCAAGGAGTCTTCAGAAACAATGTTGGTCTCTCTGTTGGGGGCAGGAATTTGTTCTTAAGGATAGCTCAGTGGACGATTCCTCTTGTCAGTAATAATTTTGTTACTTTCGGTATGTTTCTGGACTTGGGCTCCCCCTTGTGGTTCATAGGATACGGCTGTGACATAGAAGATATAGGAAATTACATTTGCATTTTTGCGGTTGCAAAGATTACTTAGACCCTGGTAGAAAAATGATTACAGCTGAAGGAATCAATAATTTTTAAGGAAACGTTGTAAAGACCTACGTTAATTTACTTAATCCAGAATTATACATGCATAAAGACCCAATGTATAAGAAATTATACCACCTGAATAAAGAAAATCTGGCTTATTCTTCCTTCCAAAAATAATTATCCGCATTCATTGAGTGCCTACTATGTTCCAGGTACTGCTACACACATTGTATGTAAAGAACTAGGTAACTTTTTATTATGGGAAATTTCAAACTTAAGAAACGTTCATAAAAGAATCTCTATGCATGCATTACCCAGCTCACTCACTGTAAATCATTATCATCAACATTTCACCATTTTGCCAAATTTGTTTTATTTATCATTCTTCTCCCCTATTTTTTCCCTGGAGTATCTAAAATAAATTCCAGATGTCTTATAACTCAGTCATACATAACTTAAGTATGATCTTAACTTTAAAAATATATTAGCTTATATTTTAGTCTTCAAGAGCGAATACAGTTACTACTCCCATTTTACATATGTATAAACTGAGGTTACTGAGTGATTCAAACCCTGGAGTCTGACTGCCAGCCTCCAAGATGGCCCCCGACCCCTGCCTCCTGGTATCAGTATCCTGTGTAGCACCCTCACATGTGATAACCAGGGTTGGTCTGGAGACTAATGGCATATGGCAGAAGAGATGCAATGTCTCTTCTGAGATTGGATTCTGGCTTCTGTCTTGGGTGCCTCTCCCTTTTTTGGATCATTCACCAGCAGCCCGGTGGAGAGCCCCACCCAGTAAGGAATGCAGGCCTCTGGCCAACAGCCAGCCAGGAGCTCAGGTTTGCGCACACACCCCTGTTTGAGCCTTGAAATGACTGTAGCCAGGGCTAACAGTTTGACTGCAGCCTCATGACAGACCCCGAGCCAGGATCGCCCATCTGAGCCACTCCCAGATTTCTGGCCCACAGAAATTGTGAGATAATAAATATTTGTTGTTTAAGCTGCTGTATGTCGGGGTAACCTGTTATCTAGCAATAGAGTACTAACACAGCCTGTATTCTCCACCACTGTTGGACTCTGCCCCCAAATACAAGCCTGTGATAGCTTTTGCTTTGCCGCTACTATGATACTTAAAGACAATGCTGAGGCAGCACAATAAACAGGGTAAATTTAGGGAGATTAATAACACACGTTCATTTCACTGTTACTCTAATCTGTGCGTGGTGAATATGGCAACTCTTTAATAAAAGGGCTAATTAATTAAACCAAATATCCCACTGTTCCTATCAGTTCCATATCAGCACAAACTAATCTACTTCATACTTTTAAAAAAAGACTGTATTTTCTATTAGTTATTAAACCAACACATATTAACTGCGATTGGATCGTTTCGTTTTTCTTTTTTTGCTATTACAAATGATGCTTCATTGAACATCTGCATACATCCTATCTTGAAGAACTTTTGCAGGTAAAGCCTTATGGAATTTTCTAGCAGTGAGCTTGATAGGCTAACGGTATGTGCATTCTATGTTGACAGCGACTGCCAAATCACCCACACAAAAGCCCCACTAGTTACAGTACCATCAATCCCTGTCTTCCCACACTTCTGTTAGAACTAGACACCATCAAATGTCTACATTTTGGCAATCCAAAAGGTGTTAAAGATCTTCCATTGTTTGGATTAGTATTTCTTCACCTCCGGATGAAGTCAAGCCTCTCCTTATGAGTTTACTGATCATTAGTATTTCTTTTTCTCTGAACTGTCTGTCCTTATAAGAGCTCTTTGTG